ATTTACTGCTTCTTAATAATTTAAGTTTTTTAGATTTCTTATAATGGGTTTTTGTTGAATTTTGCAAGAGAGCAACTCATAGGAATGAGTTTTTAATTTTTTTTATAAATTAAATTTTTAAATAAATGAGAAGTTAAGTTTTAATAAAATAATATAAATGATGATGTAATTGAATTAAATGAAGTTAGATTTTAATAGGTAATTTTATAATTATATTAAAAATTAAGTGTTATTTATGAAAATTATAGTAAAAAAACTTCAAAATGAAAATTTTGGTTTTATATATAATATTAAGATGCTAATTTATGCACACCATCCCATTACACACTCTAACAGTTTCCGTTAATTTTGAGCAGCTCCCAATCTATGTTTTTGAAACTCTTCCTAGGTCCAATCAGCAGAGTGATTAACAACAAGAGTGTAAGGCAGTCCCTTCTTGTTTATGGATATGATCAAATCCAAACTCTCCTTGAAAATATGAAACCGGAGCTTCATCTCCACGCTTTTGTACCTCTTCTTGTACCTGTAAGCAAAATGGGCGAAGTAGTAAGCAATTAAGCATGCATGGCGAGTGTAGCCAAGGACTTGGAGGATAGAGGAGTCAAAGTCATCGAGGCCATCGGAGACCAATCTGATCAGATTGGAGTCGTCAAAAACTAATCCTGTGGTGGCATAGCAGCACAGGAGGAGGATGACACCCGTTACACACTCTAACCCAATTTGGGTTCTCCAGGAGAACCCAGATTAGGTTCTTACCAAGAGAACCCGTGGGTTCTCTTGGTCCATAAGAACCCAAATCTGGGTTCTCTTGGAGAACTCAAGAGAAAAAAATAAAAAATAAAAAGGGGAAGAAGGTGGGAATCTGATACGGCTGGCAATTGTCTTGCAGATGATTAGGATAAGAATGGAGGTAAGGAGGAAGATGGATTTGGTGAGGACGGTGAATAGCAAGAAGGAGGAAAGAAAAGAGAGAAAGAAAAGAGAGAAAGAAAGGATTGGGTGAGTTGGAGAGTGTTAGTACATATAACGAAAACCGTTAGAATGTGTAATGGGTGTGTAACGAGATGGTGTGCCTGAACCATTACCCATAAAATTATTATAAAACTATTATAACTTTTCAAAATTTTTGAAAAATTAGTTAAAAAAAAATTTCCAAACATTCATATATTTAAAACTACTATATAGCTAAAAAACAAAAATTCTTAACCATAATTTCAAGCGTGCCCTTAAACACCATTTAGTATGATTGTGATCTTTTATTTTTATTTTTATTTTTATCTATTTAGTAATTAGTACTATATTTAAATTAAATTTAATAAATCTAAATTTTTATAAAAAAATTTAATTTCTAAATATATTAATACTAACCATATATATATAAAATAAAATTTAACAACTAAAAACTAAAATCATATTAAACAAAATCTAAATAATTAAATTGAGATAAATTCTCTTGTCATGATCCTTCAAGGGTGTGGATTTAAATTTAAATCTCTAACTTACACTTAGAGACTATTAGTTTTCCTATTGCTTTTGCCCAAATTTATTTCTGGAAGATTCCACCCTAACCGAGAACCAGGGAGAAAAGTAAAACTACACGGATAAAAACTTTTTCCATTGGCACATGATAAAATACTTTAGACATGACCAGCCTCTTTACGTGGGGTCAGTCAGCATTTTTCCCCCTTCGTTCTTCATGCCTGCTGTTGCCCTTTGTTTGGGCAGAGAAAAGAAGCCTCCAACACTTGTCATGCATGGATAGATATCAAATATTCAATAATTGAAAACAACATTTGACTCATTGACCAAAAACAGAACCTCTATTTACATCAGTCCAAAAGTACTTCACAAACATGTCTAAACCTCAACCACTAATTAGAAAAGACCTAAAAGACAGACTCAAGAAACTTTACAAAATGCTACCCATGATCTGTTTCTTAATTTGGTCTATTAGCCCCACTTTGTTTTGAATTGATCTGTAGGGCTTTATTTCTTCGATATAATGATATTGTTATAATTAGATCATTAAGCTTGAATAAGTAACGTTGCTAATTGATTGCATAGCGGCTAAGATGCGCCAAAGATTGGAAAGTTCGGCGGAGAGAGCAATGGATTCGGATTTCAACTGATCGTTTTCTCTCCCTAATGCATTACACTCATTAATAATCAAACCCAACTCGTTCTTGAGCTTCTGGTTCACTAAACTCAACCGGTTCACTTCATCCGTCAGGTTCTCCAAATGCCTCTTCTTTCTCCATCTGGACCTCCTGGCTGACTCCTTGTTTGATATCCTCCTCCTTTCCTTCCTCTCATCCGGGGAATAAACCGCTCGGCTTGACCCTTCTGAGCCCGAGTTCGGACTGACCAGTTCGGTTAACTCTACCAGAGACCATTGTTCGTCAGGGGTTTCGTAAACCGGACAGTGGAATTGATTCAACTGAAACACCCCCTCTGCAAACGGCATTTTTTTTTCCCACCAAAAAAAAAAAAAAACACACTAGAAAGAGCTAGAAATTAAAGATTTCAAAGGTGTATAGAAGGGAAGGAAGGAGGGGGAAAGGGAAGAAGAGAAGCGTTGGGGTTGGGTATTTATGGAGGAGTAGGAGAGGAGATGTGGGGTCCATCAAAACAAAAGATTTTGGAAGAGTTGAGGGAACTTTGATCCCAAAAAAGCTTTAAACCTAATTTTTAAGTCATCCGTAGATGATTATAGTGGTAGTCTTTACTTTTTCTTGGCTGCCTTCTTATTTTTCCTGAGAAAAAGTTGGTGGGGATCCTGTAGAAGATTAGGTTAGGTAGCTTAATCACTAAGAATCAAACAAAAAATACAAGAGAAAAAAAGCATACCTTCAAGATTAACAATATATGACGAGAATTTTCAGAAATGTCCTTCTTTTATTTTTTGAGAGAGAGAGAAAAAGGAATTTGATCTTAATAAGTGTCTCAATTATGAAGTTTTTGAAGATTTTAGATTCAAATTGTAAAACATCAAATGCAACAAAAAAATATGCAGCATGTTAGGGATATGGATAAATTGGTGAAAACAAAGCAAGTGGTTTTTAAGAGTAATGTGTAGTATAACTTAAAAGCGAAGATTCGAGGACAGTTTTCTTGGTTTACGGTTTGCAAGCATGGTATTGTTTTAGGGGAAGGAGGTTGGCGGTTTTCCCAGTTTGGCAGTTAATTGGTTGTTGTTTTGGGTATATATTTTAGTGGCTTCAAAAGCAAGATTGTATAGTGGAGGCTAACATGCACACGTTACGCGCTTTATCTCTTTTCTTGTTTTGCAATTTGTGCACTAATTTTTAACTTCGATTTATGAAAGTTAGTGAGCTGAGCCATGGGTGTCTTTTTACCATATATATATATATATATATATATAACTTTGGAAGTTGGTTTCATGTGCACCAACTGATTTTTAATTTTATACACCTAAACTTTGGGCCGATGCGTTCGCCTTTTTCAAATGTCAACAAACTACGTCCCTATGATGATATCCTAAACGACTGCCTCGTCCTGCTTTCCTTCCCTCATCAGCAGCAATAATATAGCGGTCTTATAGTTTATTTATGTAAAATGTTTAAGTGAATCATGACTTGACGAAAAAAGCATGGTAATTAGAGAGGCGAGTTAGAATTTTAAATTAAGTTCAATTAACCATCAAGGTTTACCTAAGAGGAAGACGCTCTTTTGACAGTTAAGCATGCAACCGTGAAAGTCCTCATCAAGAAAAGACTTGGTGTGACTAAGAAAAGGTAAAAGCAAAATTGCATTCATCTCTAAGAAAAGGTAAAAGAGCAATATCGCATTAAAAGAGAACACAAGGACATATGAATCTTGCAACAATAAAGATAAACCAAATATGTATTAGTAATATATACAACTAAAAATTTACAACATTTCCACAAAACATATCTCTAAAACACTTATTCCCACCTGAAATTTTGAGGGCTAGATAAAATTTCGATGAAATTGGACACAATCACCTTCGATGATGAGGCAGTTAGGGTGGTAATTTCACGCCCCCTTTGCAAATGCATTTCTTGCATGCTTGCCTCTTTAAGGTTGCAACGACTTTAAGTTTTGCACTTTTCCGGTGCCATGTAATACAAGATATTTACAAATTAACTGGTGGGCTTCCCTGAATATGACAACATGAAGAGAAGTTAGCAGATCCATTTGCTTTTGCATGTGAAGAATAACCAGTGAAAGCAACCACACATGTGATACCATAAGGAAAAGAAGCTTCAGTTGCAAATAACTTCAATTTTTGAGTAAATATATACTATTACTAACATTGAGAGGCAAGGTTAAATATAAAGCCACATTACACCCAAAAAGGCAGCTATGCCATAATGAAGCAGTGATCTCACCTTGAACAAAAGATCATTAGCAATGTGTTCCCAAGGCAATGTTATAGACATTAAGCAGCATTTAAGAGGCAACATTTCATCATCAGAATCTGTGCTGGCAGCAGCAGCAGCTGCTGCATAGGCATGCTTTGCTGCTACAGATGCAACGGTTGCTGCCCTACGAAATATTGAGCCAATTCCAAATCCTTTCTTTGACATGACAGGTGAAAAGGGGCCTGCATCCTCCTGGCTTTGATCTGATACATTAGCATCTAGAATCAGTATTTGACTTAATGTTTGCATTTATAATTTCAATCAACGTTCCTATGATGGAGCAGAAGGGGGGGGAGGAAGAAGAGAGGGGGTGGGCAAAGGAGAAAGCTAAGATCAAGGAATTAAGAGGAAAAGCTCCACTCCACTCAACCTGACTTGACTAAGCCTTAATCCTAGACCATTGGTGTTGGTATGACCTAAGGTGTACCATTTTCCTCTACTCCAATAGGCAAAAGAACTATATGCTATAAAGATCTTAAAGAGGCAAATCTGTTAGTTTTTCACAACTTACAATAACTTTCTCATGGAAAACATCATTTTTTATCATAACTTATCTTGCACGATCACACATCCATCTTGGCGTTGTCATTTCATTTACATTCATCAAGAAGAAAACAATTATTATTATTACCTGGAACATTGGATACAGCCACTTCAACTTCTCCACGTCCTCCAGGACCTTTCATAAAAAGCCTGTCTGTTTTGTGAGGGGAATTACCTAGTGACAGAAGGCTCCCAATTCGAGACCTCCCTGCTGAGAGAAGGTAGAGAGAAGCATGAGACTAGGAGAACTGACTAAGCAAAGAAACTGTTTATAATTTAAGTTCAGTGGTCAAAGTTGTTCACTCCTTTTAAGTCCTAGCAAGCTTAACAAATATGCAGTCATTACAACCTTAACAGATTTAGTAGACTAATTGTTCCACAGGCATGTGAATTTCTGTTCAGATAACAGAACTTAATTCAATGTCAAATCAGGCAGGCATGCCTATGCATATATATCACATATCAAAACCACAAAATTTAAAATCAAAATGTCATTCCTCACATAATTTTTAGGAAAGTTATACCATCATATGCATCTCGAACCATCTGATAGCTGACAAATCCAGAGAAAATTGTGATCTGCTAATACAAAAAAAATACCACCGAGTCAAGTTGATCATCCAATTAACATTACAAATACGTGTACTGCCTAGCAGTGTTATACAGGGTAACAGAAAAAAGACCAATGACAAAAGCAAACAAATTCTTTTCTGCACATTTGTTGCTTTTCTTTAGAAAAAAAAAAATACAAAATAGCGAAAGGAGAAAACCTGCAGCTACTACTACTACTACTAATGATAATAATAATAATAATCCTTTTACTACTACTACTACTACTACTACTACTAATAATAATAATAAAGAGACCTAATATTACCATTCAGAATACCATGTGGTGTCTTTCATCCTTAGCAATTTTGCCTTATGGCCTTCTTATTTAACTTCATGATGACATGCTATTTCAACATACCAATATATCCAGCAACACATTCTTAGCATTTTGATATAAGCACCAATGCAGCTCATTTTGATCCTAGTCACTAAGGCCACCTTTATTTTGCCCTTAGCAATCAATCCACTATACTAAACAATGATAGATCCAAACAATGACTAGACCAATTAGCATCATGTTGTTCGAAGTATAAGGACATACAAATATTTCATATAAGAATTTACTTGGTTTTAGGAATTTCTGTTGCAAGCAAGATAAAGCCACAACTTTAGGAGACTTCAGGATTATTTGACAGGGAAAGGGTGAAGGGTTGGTTTAAAGATTCTCTAGGTGGAAAGCATCCTCTGTATTATTGAAATGAAAAGCTTCAGGAAGGATCTTATAAACAAACAAAAGGCATAATCTAAATGCAATAGAGCAAAAATATAATTGCCATCACCAAGGGTAGACTGTGGCAGATAATGGAACTGATAAATATAATCATCACAAGTGACCTACAAATGGACCCAAACCTTGCTATTCTGTGTCTTTCCAGAATTAGTATCAACACTCGATGGTGGATTATTACTAGAACCACAATCATCCACCACTTTTTCTCGAGGAAATGCTGGCCCATCAAGTGCATTAAGAAGCACACAAAAGCAATGGTCTGGGTCTGTCAATACCTGCATAAATTAGGGAACAAAGATACTTTCAATAATGATGCTTGGTTAAATGCATATCACAAAAATAACAACTCTATTTAGAATTTCTTCTTTACTGATTGAGGCCCTCAAACATTAAAATGGGGGCCTTTTTTTTATTTTCTTTTTTCTTTTTTGTCAGAGGGAATAATTTTTAAAAATAATTGGAAAATCTTTGATAGATAAGAAAATGTTATAAACCACTTCTCCCAAAATGAAAATGAAAATTTTATTTTCAAAAAATATATCAAGGTCAATTTGTGAAACAATGAGATCATAAACAACACCAAATCATCCATGCATAATCTTTTAAAAGTGGGAAAAAGAATTTACCACTGCATCAAAGGTGGAGTCAAAATCATCCACCGCAAAACAGATGTCTGGGTATGCAGGAGCTGTCTCCACTTCCTGGATCCATCAAAGCAAGTGCATAAATAACTAAAACTGAGAATTATGTGCTATTAGCTGACAACGCAAAACTTGCCTTTTCTGCATCCAAGTGAAAATTTACTCGGCTTGGAGATGCATAAACAGTCTTCACAACCTAAATGATGCCATAGTCCAAATTAGATAATTGGATGCTAAACAAACTAAATAGTTCTACCATACAGAATCCAAGCTTCTTGGCTGCAAATTTTATTTGAATTAGTCCCATTTTCTATTTCTGACCTCATTGATACATCTATGCCCCTAATCAGCCCATGTCTACTAATAAGAGGCCATTCACACTGCAAATTAAAAGTCAATTTTCAAATGAGAAACTTATATTTCAACATCGCAGATGGTTGAATTGATCCCAGAATCCAAGAATGAGGCTAAAACAAGACTACCAGAACAAGGCTGACACAAGAATTTTTAATTTAACAAATAAATATAACTGTTTGGAGGTCGTACATATCAACATATGAGTGACCTCTTTATTGGAATTTTGGATCTTGATTCCTTTCCATCATCAGATACATAAATGAGCAGGATAATAATTCAAACATAAATCTAGCACGTATTATACTTGATTATTGGTCCAATTAACAGACGATATCACATGTTCCCTTCACTCCTATAACTACACAACAACCTAAATCCTAACTACAAACTACTTGGGATCATTTAAATAAATCCTTTCTCTGTTCATCCATTTGCCTCTCAATTGCATATTTTGGCAAGTTGTTCTCTCTGATAACAAAAGATTATTCATCTGAATTCCAAAGATTCCAAAAGCATCGTAAGATAAGAAGAATCCAAATAAATATTACTACCAGACATGCCTACTATAAACTAAGACTGAAGTTACCTTGTAAATAGGAGAGAGTGATGTATCTTGTCCAGCTTGATGGTTTTTAAGGTCCTGGTGGCTGAGAAAGGAAAATCATATTAAATTTAATCAAGATGCAGTACACCAAAGATGGAAACAAGAAAAAATCCCCAGACATCTAATAAGTCTCATATATGCTTTCAAAAATATCAGAAAGATAGTTCACCAAGAATGGACATGGGTAAGGGAAGAATATAGCACTTGGTTGAAAAATCAGCAATGACCCAAAATTTATCAATTACCTCCACAAACTAGAAGATGTCAATTAATAAATAGTATTAATAAACATATTCTATAAAAAAGAAAACTGTGAAAGGGGGGTTTCTACTTTGCCAACAAAATCATTATGCGACAAGGCCACAAAGGTTAGATCTATACATATTAATTTCCCGAACAAGAATATTAATTGAATCAAGATGCAAGTAAGATACAAGGTATGGGAATAAACTAGATCAGATACACAAAAGAAAAGGACAAGTTACCTGCAAATTGCTACTGTAACAGAGTATTTAGTGTGCGCAATCATGTTCAAGTAAAAAGAACGCCTCCAATCCACCTCTGCTAAACTTTCACCCATTAACTTGTCCAACTAATCCAAAAGGCAAAAGAAAGTAACTTTTCATGAGCAGCAAACTGACATTTCAAGTTTTCAACTAGCACACTAATTATAGTTCAAGCTTCTATTTTTAGATTTTGATTTATACCTGGGCTGCCCACCTGCGTACGAAAAAAGGAGCAGTTTCTTCGTCGTTATCATTAAAACGCTGCCCCTTGAAGCTCTAAATCACCAAAAAAAAGCCAAAAATAAGCAAATTTCAGCAAAAAATGAAGTACAAGAGGCTACATTGCAACAATACCATACCGTTTTCCGTACGAAAAATATCATATCGTCATCCTGGCGTCCCCTCGACTCCTTTCCCCGAATAAAATACAAATCGAAGACATCATGCCAGAATCGGCCGTCCATTTCAACGTCGGAAGCATCTTGCTTCTCCACCGCGCTCTTCGCCAACAAACTCGAGTGCTTCTTAACCATACTAAGCAATTCAAACCTGAAGAAATAAAATTAAAGAAATTGATGGTTGACATTACGAATTGGATTCCAAAAAAATCGAACAGGAAAGAGAAAGAAAGAAGAACCTGGAAGGGGTTTCTTCTCCTTGAGCAAGCATGGCTTCTGCCGGCGGTGGCGGAAGTGACTGTGGAGGAATTCTAGGGCAAAAGTACGCTCGAATTCCGATGTACAGAAAACTGGCGCGAGTGACGGAGTTGATCTGGTGATAGCGTAGCAGTAACTTTGACAAATTACAAAATGAGGCGTTGCGTCCCGCGAGGAAGAGAGAGAGAGAAAGAGAGATTACCATTTCTTCCGATAAAAGGACCAGTGTCGGTCTGGGCTTTACGCTTTGACCCGTGGCAGTGGAAGTCCAGAATTCCAGATCGGTATATTTATTGGGCTTATTTTGGTGAGGGCCCAATGTTAATGATTCATTCTTCTGCTTCTGCTGACCCATGTGTAAGATGTTTTGGGCCAGAAGAAATACTTTGGTCTTGAGCTAATTGGATTTGATGTTTATATATTTGTAGGATGGTGGGTGGAGCATATATTTTAGGGGTTGCATCATTGTGGCTAATGGTCTTTTTTTGGTATTAACCTCTCGGTATTTGATTACTACATTGGATCCTAACAAATCTGGAATCGAGTCGTGTCGGAGCCTATTAGGGGGAAAACTCTCCCAGTACCTGTTTCTCCATTCATAAAACTCGAACTCGAGACCTTATTTAAAAGGAATCGAATTTTTTTTACTCAGACTAACAAGTCGTTGGTATAGCTAATGGTCTTTGTTAAATAATGTTCGGCTTGGAGTAATATTAAGTCTACATATTCTTAAAAGAAAAAATCTCATATAAAAGCATAATAAGAATTTTGTGTAACCTAAATATAAAAAGAGTTACCTTATTTATTATCAATTAATTTTATATTAGATATAAGTTTTATGTTAAAATTTTGTTATTAACTCAAGCTTGCACGTGGATTGAGAATTGTGGATCCATAATTTATACTAAGCCTCTATGTGGTAGCATATTAAGCAAAAAAATCCTTATATAATATATAAATAAAGATTTACTTACATATAAATTTTATACATATATTTACAAAATTTTAACTATTTATTTTTTTATTTTTAATAATTAAAATTTATTTATATTGTCTAAAAATAATTATTTTTTATCTAATAAATCATAATAAATCTTATTTATTAAAAATAAAAAATAATTAATTATTTTTTTAATAAACATAATATATAAAACTTATATATAAATACTTCCTCTGAACACTTATTAATTGATTTTTTCTAAAGAAGAAAAATAGCATTTTGCTTGCACTTGGGCAGATAGTCGTGCTAGCCGCTAGGTTAGCTTTAAAATAAATCACAAACTCCAAAAGCCGTTCATTTTGGTAAAGCCATTAGGGATAAAGGAAAACTGAGATTCGACCGACAAGAAAAACTTTTTCCCCTACATTCCGTGTTTTAGTGATTTGACCTTTTTCTTTTCTTTTTCTAAATTCATATGCACGCCGCATGCGCGTTGAGGAACAGTGTGAGATTCACGAGTCTTGGTGTACTTTTTTTAATTTGAGCAAAATTTTTTTTTTATTGTACGTATAATTAGGTGTAATTATTTTTTATTACTTATCTCATCATATTATATATTATGTAATTTAAATTTAAAATAAAAAATTTTAATTATAAAATTTAATAATTAAATCAGTAAGTATTAATAAATATATTAAATCAATAAATACATAAATCA